TCGCGGTGTGATGAGTTTGTGTTCGTGGTGGTGGGTTCGTGGTTCTGGGTTCGTGGTGGTGGGTTCTGGATTTGAAGGGTGGGTGTTTCTAGGTGGCGTCGGTGGTGGTTCTAGGTCGTTCTGTTTAACTTTGGTGGTTTTGTGGGTTGGTGGGTGGTGAATCGTGGGTTAGGTGGGTGGTTCGTGGGTGGTGGGTCGTGGATTTAGGTTCGCGTGGGTGAGCTAGGTGAGTCGGGGGTTTTGGTTTCGTGGTGTGATGAGTTCGTGGTTCGTGGTGGTGGGTTCTGGATTTGAAGGGTGGGTGTTTCTAGGTGGCGTCGGTGGTGGTGTTGTCGCCGGCGAAGCAGGCAGGTCGCCGACGATCTGGGGATATTGATTACGATTGATTAATCACTGGATTGTGAAATTGATTTTCTAAAATCATAGAAAGCACAAATAAAAGTTAAAAACATCTTACCTCAGAATGTTCAATGGAGGAGAGAGGTCGAAAGCTAATTCAATGGAGGATTCAGAATGCGCTTCAATGGAGGAGAGAGAAATGGAGGGGGAGGGGGGGTGGGGGGAGAGAAGGGGGGTGCAGTCTGTGGAGTGACTCAGTGAAGCAATTTGGGAATGTGGGTGATAGTCGAAATGAATAGGAAGAAATTTGGAGGGTAAGCTAATTTGTGGGGCCCATGCAAAATTTCCGTCACGGAATCCGTTTTCTGGTGGTGAAACCAAAATTTTAATTTTTTAGTAGGTGTTATAATAAAACTTTGAAATGTTAAGGTGTTAAAATCAAAATACGGTCTTTTAACAGGTGTTATTTTCTAATTTGGCCTAAATTTAAAAAGAGGATAAAATTTAGTAAATGGAATATTAATAAATCTTAGGATAATAGCTTATTTACTTTCCCTCAAATTTTAGATTTTTCTTAGATTTTGTTATGTCTTCACGCAATTTGGTTAATAGAATATTAACAAAATCTTAGGATAAAAACTTACGTACTTTCCCTAAAAAAAAAAGATAAAATTAGGAGAATACCATAATTTAATTAAGGTTTATAATTTTAAATCTATCTTATTTTTTTTAAGGAAACACTTTAAGTCTTTCTTTTCTAAAATAAGATAAGATTTTAAGATTTTTTTGACATGCTTATCTTAAAATAAAATCAAAATGTTGATTTCCCTCAGCTCCACGTCAAAAAAAAATCATAAAGTTGGAATTTTCAGAAAATCCAAAATACATATGGTCACTTGTAATAAGCAAAATACACATAAATTAAAACCTGAAGTATAAACATATCACAAAACTCACACTTGTGTTTTACGTATCAAACAAGGTTTATGAGAAGAATATTAAAAAAAAATGTGTCTTCTTCCTCTAATCGATCTGCTCATTATATATCTTTGTATCTTAAAATTGCGTCTTCTTCCTTTGATAGATCAATTTGCTTATTATATAGGTTTGGACATTAATTTTTGTTTTTTGGTTTGTGTAATAATTTGAAATTTAAACCATCTTTCGAGCTATAAGGTAAAAAAAATCATATATTTAAAGCAACCAATCAAAATTGAAATTTAGATTAACAATGGAATGTGTTAGATTTAAGATCTATTTGAAGAATATTGCCTAATATGATGGCTGTTGATTGATTATTTTTAGGAAATATTGTTACTAAATGAAACATAAGTTATCCCATATAAATTGCCGTCCAAATCTTTTTCAAATATTCTATTATAATATTTAACGTACTATTTAGGAAATAAATCAATGGTATACAATAGTGTTGTTATCAATTAATTTTTATGACACATAAAGTATAGACTATAAATTAAAAATGAAACTAAACTAATCAAAAAAAGATACTCGTAGAGTCGTAGTACTAACCATTGGGTAAAAAACAAGATACAAAAAATCACATTTAACATGTAACGCTATTTTGACAAATAGGAAAAAGAATATTTTCGATTATCATTAATATAACTAGAATACGTGTATATACAAAACAGAAGCATGATATGTCCTAATTATAAGGAATACAACTAGCAATAGTAGCATGTATTTAGCCTAAATATAAGGGGTTGAATATTGGCTTTTCTAATTTATAAATACAAAAATATATTTACTATATTTAACAATTTGTCATTGTATTCCCCCCCCCCCCAAAAAAAAAAAAAGTTTGCCATGTAATTGCTCACCTCCACGTTTTTTTTTCATTTGGTTGTTATATGGGATTCAACCAATATTAGGATATGACATTACTTATATATTTAGAATTGGTCTCAATCTCCTTAATTATTGTAAAATTACAATAATAACCGAAGACGGTTTATTATTTTAATTAATAACAAACTAGTATCAAGTAATCCAACCATTGGGTCACACGATAGATAAGAAGATAATCATCTAATTTGACAATTAGGTTGCCATTAGAATAGCTCTAAAGGTGGTTTGAATGAGAGTTAATTTAATTTTTAGGAATATGCATACAAAAATCAAACCACAATAGCTGATATATAAATGATCATTGATACCAAACTTGGTATATGTAAATTGTGACTTGGCTAGTGAATGAGGATTGAGGACCACGATCCTATTTGCTATCAATTAAGAAAAATATTAGGATATTAATGCATGCACAGTATGAACTAATTGTTAGCATTGTCCAAAATAACGTATGGTCGTAGACCAAATAAACTGTGATATTGCGTTTTATAGGTAATGTCCTATTAGCATTTAGGTTAATGCCTTATATGCAAACAGAATCGAAAACTATATCTTTTTTTTTCCGGATCAAACAAGTATTCCAAAACAAAAATCGTTTTCTTCTCCAATTTGCTCACAAACCCATATTTTGAAAAATTGTTTTTTTATTTTATTTTATTTTATTTTCGCATACATATAATGACCGATTTTTCATCCCTTGTTTGCGATTATCCAATTAACATTTATTGTTTTAGGATTAAAAACAATCCCAAATTCATACATGAATCCAAATTTCGAATGAACTCTTCACATATAATATGTAAATCGATGCATTTTTTCAATTTTCATTGATGTGCGAGTGTATTTACGGGACAAAGATTACCATAATGGTGGTTAATCTCATCCATGGATAAACAAACTTGAATAACAATGATGAATAATAAAGAACATTAATGAAGAATTTTTTTATTTTGATTATTTTAATTTAATGTTATTTTTTTTTATTTAATTAAAAACTGATTTTAATAAATAAATTTCGAAAATCATAAAATAATTTTCTGAAAGTCAATAATTATATTTTGGAAAATAAAATTTGAATTAAAAAAGGAAAATACTAAAAATAGTGTTTGACCAAGGTTAAAAAAAATTAAAAATTCAACCAATGATAATTAAGTGTAGTGATGGTCCAAATAAATTGGACCACAATAGAAACATCCCATACTACATACAGTTAATTCTGTATAAATATGGACCTACACAATGTGTGCACTCTCATTTCTTTGATCAAATGACTTAGAATCAATTAAACTGGTTCCAACATAATACGATAATCTTTCAATTTTTGAAATTGCGACCCATCTATTGTTGGTGAGTTTACCAATTAAACTAGTTGATCATCTACATTATTAGCTAAATTATAACTTAATAGTACTTTATTGATAATAACAATTCATAATTTACAACATCTATAAATATGATCAAATGTGATGAGCTACGCAACAAATATATTACTCCATACTGTATTTATATACTTTTCGTTTTCCTAAATTGTATCTAAACACAATAAATAAACAAAACTACGGAGTAATACATATGAAACACGAAAATTTGTAAACTATTAAGAGTTTTTGTAAACTATTTCCCTGAAAAAATCTCTCTAAATTGAGAGCTTATCTCTCTAGGATTCTAGAGCCTCTTCCCCAACCTTCCTCAACCTCAACAATCAACAAGAACACTACTTTTACCTTTAATTTTCATCAAGTTTTCAGTAAACCTTCATCACTATATAGCTTTCCCCTTATTTAATTTTCCCCTTTAAATAGCAAGGTTTCTATACTCTGTTCGTTTATTTGGGTTTCGATTACGAGTGCCCTGTTTTCCTCTTCCCCTTTATAAATAGATATGGCTTCATCTCAATTTTGAGATAACCCAAGCCTGAATCCGTCCTTTTACCCACCCCAAAACTCCAATTTCCATCGTCACCTGGTTCTAGTCTTCAAACCTTGGACTCCAGGTGATTCTATAAAGGATATTAGTTTTAATGAGGCTGCTATATGGGTACACCTTGATGAGGTACCTCTAAACTTATGCGACCTTGATGTTGTACAATCGATGCTTTCTTTGGCTGGAAATATTCTGTGTACTGATAAACACCCTACAGGTTCAATTAGATGCTTGCTTAGAGTAAAGCTCCAAATTCATGTTTTTGAACCGTTATTACCAGGTTTCTTCTTGGACCTCGGAAATTCTGAGTTTAAATGGATTAACATCAGATATGAGACTTTGTTTATTTTGTGCTCTAAGTGTAATAGAGTGGGTCACAAGAAGAATTCTTGTTTTCGTCTTCTGATAGGACTATTCCATTGGTGTCCGACAAACTTGATTGGTGTAAGTCTACTTTTGATCTTGACCATAAGCTCTCCAACTCGAACATTGGCCTAAAAAAGATTGAAAAATTCAGAACTACTCGAGTTAACCTTCGGAGCATGTTTAAGGATATTGTCTCACACCAATCTCAGAGTAGCCAATTAAAAAAGAGGCCCCTTATGTTTGCTACTCCATCCTTTTCCCCTTCGAAAAAGAGGAGATTATGCTCCGAGTCCACAGAATACTCCCACCATATTCCTACAACAACCGTTGATACATCAACTCCCCATAATTTCTCACCTTCTCGAAAATTTCTACCCAAGTTTCAGTCTAGGGTGTTTAATGTGTCACTCTCCTCACAAAAATCAAAACCTCTCAAACAACCAAAACCTCATTTTAGAAAAGTAACATGTTATGGTCTGAAGTTGTGGAGGAGAGGAGACTAGATGTGGGAATGGGTTACGTATCACGTTACCAAGAAACGGTTGAGTAGTGAGGTTGAACCTTCTACGCCACTTTTAACTGATGAACAAGTTCAGAACTCTCTTGAAACTGGCTGTTTTCCGTGCTTACTACCTTATAAGAGACGTAAAGGTTTTTTTGGTTTCATCATCTACAACAACTTCTGAAGGATCGGTGACCTCCCGTACTGGGTCACCAAAGTCTACATGAAATTCAGTGTTTGGAATTGTAGGGGCTTGGGATCAGCGGACTCCTGTTGCACAAAAGTTAGCTCCTTTGTCCTTTTTGGGTTGTAGTGGTGTAGATGTTGTTGGCCTTAGTGGTGGTATGTTTGTATTTTGGTTTACTCCGCTGGGTTTGGTTCCTGTGTATAGTTCTCAGAATGTGTTTCTATGTAAACTGGAGCAAGGAGATGAAATTAAGCATATTATGTTTGTGTATGGATCGCCTCACGTGTCTTTTCGTTTGGAGGTTTGGAATTTGATTACCAATATTCTTGAAACCATTCCAAATGTTGTCTTGATTGGTGACTTTAACCAAGTTGAGTATCTTTCGGATAAACTGGGGGATAGCTCATCTATTCCAGGACAGATGGATTTTATTAGTTGGCGTATAGGGATGGATTTGGTTGATGTTCCGTTTTCTGGTCCAAAGTTTACTTGGACTAATAACAGGACTGATTTGGATCCGATTTTTGAAAGGCTAGATAGAGCCTACGCCTCTTCCGCTTGGTTGCTAGATTATCCTGACACAAGAGTTTTACACCAGCCTATCTTGTTTTTGGATCACGCAGCTATCATTCTCTCGGATATGGTGGAATCAAGATACTTAAAACGTCCTTACAGGGTGGAAAACTGGTGTTTGTCGGCCTCTGAGGTTCGTGAAATAGTACACTCTGCTATCACCTTGTTTTTCCCAGGCTTCCCAATGTTTTCTCCATCTTGAAAATTATCAGTTGTCAGGGAACGGTTGCTAGCTTGGTGTATCTCTCATAAGAAGGCATGGGGGATTAATTGGAAGACTTTGGTTTCAGAAGTTCAGCAAGCTTCTTTGGCATTGTCCTCCCGTATCGATCGTTGCCTATTTATCACTACTAAGGACGAGAAAGTTGTAAAGGCACAAGCAGCTTTTCTCTTCTGGCGTCAACGTGCGAAAGTGAAATGGGATGCATTAGGGGATTTTCATTCTCGTCTTCTCTTTTCCTTGGTGCAGTCTCAACGCCGTCAAAATAAGATTTGTGGTTTGAGAGATTCGTCTGGTGTCTGGCAAAGAGATCTCGAGTACATTGCATCTATATATTTCAATTTTTATAAAGATCTTTATTCAGTCTCTGATTATGCTTATACCCAAGATTCTAATTGGTGGGATCAGTTGCACTTACCTTATCTCTCTTCAGCTCAGCAACGGCTTCTTATGGCTCCATTTTCCGCTCAGGAGATTCAGAGTGCTATTTTTGGTATCGATGACAACAAATCTCCAGGACCCAATGGATTTTCTTCAGCTTTCTTTAAAGCTCACTGGGCTGATGTTGGTTCGTCTGTTGTTTCAGCGGTTCAGCACTTCTTTGCTCATGGGTATATGTTAAAAGAATGGAATCGTACCTTCCTTGTTCTGCTTCCGAAAGTAGAAAATCCTGAACTAATTTCTCAGTTTCGGCCGATTGGTCTCTGCAATGTGATCTATAAGTGTGTTGCTAAGTGTCTCACAGGTCGACTTCGCTTGGTGCTGCCTAGTTTGGTGGCTGATTACCAGAACGCATTTGTTCTAGGTCGTCTTTTATCGGATAACACGTTGATTGCTCATGAGGTCATTAATTTTATGAACAATTCAAAGGCCAAGAAGAGGTTTTATGCATCCCACAAGTTGGATATGAATAAAGCCTATGATCGGGTTCGTTGGGATTTTTTACTTCGGGTTCTACAAGCTTACGGGTTCCCACCTTATTGGATTCATATAATTATTCAATGTGTTTCGACAGTTTCTTATCAGGTGCTAGTCAATGGCAATCCTTCCCCAACCTTCCAGCCTTAGTGTGGGCTTCGTCAGGGGGATCCGCTTTCATCCTATTTGTTTGTCCTCTGTATGGAAGTTATTTTTGCTATGCTAAGGAAGGCTGAAAGAGACTCTCTTATTCAGGGAGTCAGTATTTCCAGGGGTGCCCCCTCAATTTCTCATTTATTCTTCGCGGATGACTCCTTGTTGTTTTTACAGGTGTCCCCTACAGCATGTGACAATCTTATGGCTCTCCTGACTGAGTTTTGCGGGTTATCGGGACAAGTGATTAACTTACAAAAGTCATTCGTTAAGTTTCGCCCGAATACGGTGGAAGATTATCGTGATTATCTTTCTAGTAGCCTGAAACTTCATTGTAAGCCCTCTCTTGGTTCTTATTTGGGGTTACCAGTTGAGTTCAGCCGAAGTAAGGTGGCTGACTTTGGTTTTCTGATTGACAAAGTTGTTAAGCGACTTTCTGATTTTGCGACTGTTGGTTTGTCTTCTGCTGCTAAGCTAGTAATCATTAATTCGAATTTGGTCGCTTCTTTCAATCATATCTTGTCGGTGTTTAAAGTTCCTCCTTCGGTCTGTTCTCGCATTGATATCTTGTTGGCTCGATTTTGGTGGAAATCTGATTCTCAATCTCGAGGTTTAGCGATGCGTTCGAAATCTCTTCTTCATTTGCCTAAAGGGCTGGGAGGTTTAGGTATACGTCAGTTGGAAAGCTTTAACTCTGCACTTCTCGCTCGGCAATGTTGGCGCATTCATCAGCATCCCCAACTTTTGGTTTCGAGACTGCTTACTGCTAAGTATCCTTCCCTTCGTTCTTTTAAGACTCGAACGATTCCTCGGTCTTCTTGGGGTTGTCGTAGCCTTTTAACTGGCCTGTCCACTCTTGATCGGGGTATAGCTTGGAAGGTGGGATCGGGTTCTAAGGTTCGGATACTTCAAGATGATTGGGTTCCGGGGGGGCTATTGTTTTTCGTGACGGTTCTCGTGTGTCGGATCCTCCGACACATGTTTCCTCTATTATTAATCCGCGTTCTTACGCGTGGGATTCAACCTTAATTCATCGGCTTTTTGATACTTCAACAGCACTTCGCATCATGGCTTTGGATCGCCCTCTTCAGCCGATGGACGATTTCGTCTACTGGAAGTTTTCTAGGAATGGATCTTTCACTACTAAGTCTGCTTACGCAATGTTGCTAAGTCGTTCGGTGTCATCTGAGGTCTCGGGTACAATTCCGGCCACTTGGTGGAAGCACTTCTGGAGGTTGCCTCTTCTGCCAAAACTCCAGTGTTTTTGTTGGAAATTACTTCACAATGCGCTACCTCTCTCTGGGAATCTGCAGCGCCGAGGTATTTCGATCGATCCAACTTGTGTGTTCTGTTATCAAGAACGTGAAACATCAGACCACCTATTCCGGGATTGTTCATTCACCTCTTATCTTTGGGCTTGTGCTCCGATAACCTTTTCTCCTTCTATTTTGCATGGGAAGCCTTTTAATGATTGGTTTGTTGATACAGTCTCTAAGCTCCGTTCCTCTCGGAATTGGGACGTTTTGGCCTCTTTTGTATCCTTTTGTTGGGCAGTCTGGATTGCGCGTAACCATAAGATTTTTAGACAAGCAGTGTTGTCTCCCGGCGTGATTTTCCATTTGATGCAGGATTGGATCTCTAGGAGTGTTTTAGCACAAGGGTTCAGGTCCCTGGTTCGCGAGTTCAGGTCCCTGGTTTGCTCGCTAGGGAATTCATCTCTCACTACTTCGGTAGCTTCTGATTCATGCTATCTACAGGGCTCCTCTGCCTTTGACGTCTGCCTTCTTTTTGACGGGGCTTGGAGTTCTAAGAATCTTAACGCAGGAGCAGGTTGGATTTTTAGGGAAGTGTTTTCAGATTCTGTGTTGGGAGGTGGCTCTAGAGCTTGTCACTCCTCTTCGGCCCTTCAGTCTGAGTTACAGGCATGTTTGTGGGCTCTTCGGGCTGCTGGTCGTCGAGGCTTTCGTCGTCTTCTTATCTACTCTGATTGTTCGAATCTTTTTTCTCTTCTACGAGATGGTGGTGATGAAGATATTTCTTGCCACTGGTTGCTTCACGAGATTCGGCTTTCTGTCTTGCAGTTCTCTATTTGCAAACTTCGCAAGGTTCCTCGTCAGTGGGTTGCCCCTGCTCACTGGTTGACTGCTCAGGCTCGTCGTCGGCAATTGCTTAGTTGGGCCTTCTAGTTTCTGTTTGTATTTTCTTTTTTAGAACTTCTTGTCAAAAAAAAAAAAAAAAAATTCCCTGATGCGAATACAAAACGTATAATTAAACAATGTATACATGGCTACATGCATATAGCATTCAACTATTCAACATATGTCATATGACACATACTCAAAAATTGGATTAGAGGTTTGAATACTTTTGAACATAACTAAATTATGTACTTTTATAGATAAGAAGGTATTGGAGATACTCCCTCCGTTTTTAAATATTTGCTCCATTTCTCCATACGTGAAGTTTTAGAATAAATTGAAGAAAGTAATACGAAATAAAATATAGAGGTAGTGGGGTAAGTGGGAGAATAAAAAATTATAAAAAACAAAAGTGCTGAGAAAATTGCAGAGAGAGGATATGAAATTAATAAAATATAATTTATGTTGGGTTCATAGGTTGAGAGAAATGAATTTAATATTGTAAGATCTTTTCAAATAAGAAAATTAAATAAGTAATTAAAAACGACCGAAAATAAAAAGTAGAGCAAGTACTATCTCCGATTTGTTTTTTAGTTGCATCTTTGGGGTATTATTTGTGAGATATAAAGTATTCCAAAGTTACAACTAAAAAAAAATCGGAGGTACGTATAAAAACAGAGGGAGTAGTATTCAACAACATAAATTTTATTCAATGTCTAATACTCCCTCCGTGTTTTTTTAAGTGTAACACTTATTAAACATGTTACACTTACTAAATCCGGCCGTGTTTTAATAATTGTTACACTTCCTTTTTTTTAGCAAAAAGCTACATTAAAATATTATATCTCTCTCCTCTCATGGTCCCTACCCAAACCCACTACTACTTATTATTATTATTATTATTATTATTATTATTATTATTATTATTATTATTATTATTATTATTATATATCTCCTCTCACACTCATTAATTTTCAATAAAGTATTAACTCCACTATCTTTTTTTTAATATATATATATATATATATATATATATATATATAATTTTTTAATACTTCAACTACACCACTTAACATTTATTTTATCATTTATTTTATTTAAATCAATTAAATTGCCTAAAACTATGTGCTGGTCAAACTGTAACACTTAAAAAACACGGAGGGAGTAAGTAAATTTCATCTATTTATTTATTTGTAGAATTGTCTAACCTTAAAAAAAATACATGGCCCATGCACTTTAGGGCCTGTTCTCATATGTTGAAATTCAGTTCAGTTCAGTTCAATTTAATTCAGTTCATCTCCTAATTTCTTTCTCTTATAAAATATTTAGTTCAGTTCAGTTCAGTTTAGTTCAATTCAGTTCAGTTCAACTAAGTTTAGTCAATAAGAACAGGCCCTAAGAGTAATATAGTTGCTGAAACATGCAACATGTATAACACGTAGTATCATCACATACTATATAATACGGAGTATGAGTTATATAACAATGAGATTTTTTTTTAATAATTTTTTTCCCTTTTCTGAGACGTTGCACTTTCATGAGATCAGAAACCATAATTACACTTAAATATTTTTAGCAAGCTAAGAAAACTCTACAATGCAATGTGTAACCATTTATATTGACCGCTAAATCTTGGAAGGTTAATGGAGGATTGAAAAAGGGACTTGTTATTCATCGCCCGCAAATCTCTACATAAAGCCCACATTTTATAATTTTTTGACAAATTTGCCCTTTTTATAATTTTAACCGAAGATAAATTTTTCGCACTAAAAAAATGTGGAGCAGCACCGGATCGCCGAGGATCACCGGAGAATCGCCGTCGTCATCAGAAAACGAGGTTCGTAACGCATCGTAAGGACGAAATGGTGGTTGGCGCCTAGCCAAAAGGCCATGTCGTGGTTGTGGCGCCTAGCCAGGACGCCGCCACCGTGGTAACGGCGCCTGGTGGAGAAGCCTCGACCATAGTAGTGGCGCGTGGCCAGGACGCCGGAGCCACGGCCAGGGCGCCTGGCCAGGACGCCGCCACCATGGCGGCGGCGTCCTGACCAGGCGCCCCGGCCGTGGCTCCGGCGTCCTGACCAGTAAGGGACGTTGCTCCGGCGTCCTGGCCAGGCGCCACTAGGGGAATATATATATTTTTTTTTTTTTTAGTTTAATCCCCCTTTTTTTTTTTGTTTTTGTTTGTTTTTATTAATTTAATCTTAATGTAATTATATTTATACGTTATATGTTATTGTTACAGGATTATGGTGGAGACGGAAATGATTACAGTGGGATTTTTGTACATGATGGCCTGTTCGAAGATGCTCAACAAGCGATTGATTGGGCAAAACAGGTTGCAATTAGATCAGGCTTTTGTTTAGTAGTAGCAACTCATAAATCTCAACGGGATGGTAGAATGGATCGCATTTTGAGATGCGACCGTTATCGCAAAAGAGAAGAACGAGATTTCAGTAAAGCGATTCGGTTTGACTCAAAGCGGAAAGGTTGTGGGTGTCAGTTCCGAGTTAAGGTTCGACAACATCAAAGGCGTGACGGTTGGGAAGTGAAGGGTTACGGCAAATGGGGATATCACAACCATGAGCTGATAGCATACAAAGTGGGGCATCGGCAGTTAAGCGGCCTAAGTCCAGCTGCGAAACTAGTTGTAAAAGAAATGAGTGATGCTCAAGTGAAGCCCGCTAAAATATTAGCGTCTGTGTTAGAGAAATTCCCCGAAGACCAGCCAAACCGAAGACACATCTACAACGTCAGACAGAAATTGAGGTTTGAACGGTCAGAGGGAAGGAACCCTATACAGCAGCTTCTGCACCAGGCACAAGCACGTGGTTACCTTTACTGGTTTGAATCTGACGAAGACACATCGGAGGTAACTCATTTGTTCCTTGTCCATCCTGATTGTGCTGATATGATTTCGTCTTGGCCATCTGTGATTTTGATCGATTCAACGTACAAGACAAACAAGTACAAGTTCCCACTGGTTGAGATGGTTGGGATGGCTCCAACGAACCAGAACTTTCTGATTGGTTATGCAGTCATGAAGGATGAGACGGCTGCGAGTTACCGTTGGGTGTTGGAAAAGTTGAGACAACTACGGTTTAGTGCGGCAGTTGATGTACAGTGAAATCGCATCAAACCGAGATGTGTATGGCCATGTGTACGGCGAGGACTTGGATAGGTCTCTGCAGCGTATCCGGTGGGGAGGGGGACCTTGCGGTCAAAATCATTGGTTCGATGCGCCACTTGATCTCTTTGCCGTTGCAAACATCTACAAGTGTGCAGTCATGCATTTCGGCCTTGGTTTACATAGTCGAGCCTATTATCCATGTACAACGGTTCTGCCCTGGTGTTCGCGCGAGACTGTCACCAGACCGGTAAGGGACGTTGCTATTGGATTTCTTGGGCCGTCATACAGACATTTTATCCGATTAGACATGTCACCCGATTTTCCGGTCCCACATATCATACCGAAGTGGTATGAAATTCGTAGAGCAAGCGTGGAGGGTTGGGATGCTTTGTACCATGCTCGCGTGCAACAGTGGAACAATTTAATTGCCATGTAGTTTTTGTTGATGTACACCTACCTTTTACTATGAGGCCTTGTATTGTCAATACTATGTCATTTCTATGTGTTCATTTTTAAAAGATAATGTTTCATTTTAAAAACTAACAACAATAATTTCACAATATTACAAACTAAAAAGATAATATTGAATTTTAAAAACTAAGAACAATAATTTCAAATATTACAAACTAAAAAGATAATGTCTAATTTCAAATATCAGTAATCCCTCTGTGACGCCCACTGCCACTGCTCAAGGGTCCGTTCCAGATCGTCAATAACAGCTCTGCCTGATGCACTCGTCATGCAGTCCCTTTCCTCAAAAAGTCGATGTCTTTGATCAACCTCGGGTGCGAGTGCCGGATGTACCATTCCATGTAGTGCTGGTCACACATGGCAGTCACCCCACTTGGCGGCCGCTGCAGCTCCGCCGTCCATAGGCGGGCAACCATCGGAAACTGCTTCGACGACGCAGACGTACACCCGAGAAGAAGAAAAACATATGCAGCCAGCTGTGTGTCCTGCGTCCTACGTGCCGTAGGGTGCAAACATCGCTGCAAGACGGCTGCGATCTTAACGCCGCCGTGATCCCACACACCAAGTGCCGATGTGTACAGCGCAGCCCTATCCACCGCCAACAGCTCCGCTAGTAAATCTGCCTGATCCGCATCAGTGACGACAGATGCTCGGTTTCCCTCCACGGGAATCCCAAGGATGGCCTCGACGTCATGCAACATGATCGTCATCTCACCGAACGGAAGGTGGAACGAGTTCGTATCCGGCTGCCATCGCTCAACGAAAGCCGTGATCAGCGTCCAGTCAATCCTGTCGTGCATGGTGGCAGGAAGGTGACTCACTCTAGTGCCCCTCAATCGCCCGACCATCTCGCTCTCCTCCGGCCAAGCATCAGCCCAGCTACACAAAAACCTACAAGTCTTTTCCCGGGTTTGGCATTTCAAAATGCCTGTATCCAAAGCCCTCTCCTGGTCCTCCCAAATACGGGTAGCGATGTGTCCTAAAAAGCTAGGAATCACACTCCCGTCTATAGGTCCCCCGGCCACCTCACCCCTCACCATCCAAGAATCATTAACGGCCCTCGACCATTTTCTGCTACCCGCAGACACAGTGGACGCAGATGATGTGCCAGATCTACTAACAAACCTACCATCTCGACCCTTACGCACATCTACCCTATGCGTCTCATACGTATCATCAAGCCTCTGACTGAATGGACCGTAATCATCATATGGTCCACTCTGATCGTCGACATCCTCATCTGCATCATCCTCGTCCTCGACCTCCTCCTCCTCGACCTCCTCCTCCTCCTCCTCCTCATCATCATCATCATCATCTTGATCGTCCGCAGAACAGTGCACCCGTTCTCTGCGGGCCGAGGCCGAAATACCACGGGATCTAACGTGTCTGGGCCCCGAGCTCTCCATTGAGTAGATCGTACTCCTCACGACGTCAATACTCTTCCCCGCACCAGGTCTAAATTGCGATGCCTAACTCCAAGTAAATAACGAAACATAATAACGAAAACAAATTAAAAAAAAGTCGAAAATAAACACAAAAGCAAATAAACAAGTCACGGAAATAAAATTATAAACATAAAAAATATAAATATATACAAGACAATATACATATAAACATAAGAAATATAAACATAAACATATACCAAAAACAAAAAATATAAACTACAAACAAAAAAAAAACAAACATAAACAAAAACAAAAACAAAAAATATTACCAAAAACAAAAAATATAAATACAAAAAAGGACGAAAATAAACACAAAAGCAAATAAACAAGTAACGGAAATAAAATTATAAACATAAAAAATAAAAATATAAACAACACAATATAAATAAAAACATAAAAAATATAAATATAAACATAAAAAAATATAAATATGAACAAAACAATATACCAAAAACAAAATATATAACCAAAAACAAAAAATATAAACAACAAACTAAAAAATGAAAAACATAAACAAAAACAAAAAATCAAAAATGCAAAGAAAAAACCAAAAACAAAAAACTAACAAAACTTAAAAAATTTAAAATTGCAAAAACTTAAAAAAAGAAGAACATCAAAATTTTAAAGAAAATTTATAAAAAAAAAGGGAACTTATAATTTTTTTACATACAAAAATATAATTCAAAAAAAAAAAAAAAATACATAGGAACATAAAATTAAAAATTAAAACCAGATACAATTTTTTTTTTTAAAAAAAATAGAACATAAAATTAAAACAAATAAAAAAACAAAATTTAAAAAAAAAAAGATAAAAAAAAAAAGGGAACATACAATTTAAAAAAAAGAAAAACAAATTTTTAAAAAAAAAAAAAAAAATTCGAAAAAAAAATTTAAAATTAAAAAAAAACAAAAAAAAAAATTTAAAAAAAAAAAAGAGAAGGAGGCGCCTAGGCAAGACGCCCGTACGGTGGTGGCGGCGCCTAGCCCAGACGCCACTACCACGGCCGTGGCGCCTAGCCTATGCGCAGCCGCCGTGGTAGTGGCGTCTGGGCTAGGCGCCGCCACCACCGTATGGGCATCTTGCCTAGGCGCTTCCTCCGTGGTGGTGGCGTCTCGCCTTGCCGCCCCATCGTCGCCGGAGGTTTTTTTTTAAAAAAAAAATTACAAAAATTTAAAAAATTACCTTCTGGCCGGCAAACCGCCTTCCGCCCACCGCCGGTGCCGCCACTTCCTTGCCGGGCCGCCTCGACATAGCTCTGGAAATAATTTAGAGAGAGAAAGTGGAAGTAGAGAGTAGAGAGAGAAATTGTGTTTTTTAGTTTGAGGGCAAAAGTGTCATTTCACTCTTATTTTGTGGGCTTTATGTAGGAATTTGCGGGCGATGTTTAACAGTTCACTTGAAAAATTGGGGATTTGGGGCCACATGACACGCCCCTTAATTTCAACAATTCATGATTTATAAATCCAAGTTTCATCAAATAAATGATCATGGTTTTCAGCATTCATTCCCAATTAAATGCATACTAATTTGAAAAAATTGAGTATTGTGTTAGATTTGAGTCTTATTTCAAAAGTTATATACCCACTTTTTCTACGAAATACTTAAAACACATGTCTTTGCGAGTGATTTTGAGATGATTTTAAAAAAAATAAAATTCTCAAGCTTGTTTATTAAGTTTTTTCTCTTCTGTCATAATATTATTCTCCTCTTATATTGAGAGATCAAACAAATCATTCTCATTATAAACAACATAATAATTAAAATTATCGACAATTTAGCTAGAATCATACTTAATGTATCATTCTTCTTGTATTTCTTTTTATCCATCAAAATCATCTTAAAACTCAAACTTTGCAATTACTTTGTACTTATATCACTACTTTTAAATTAATTTAGAAACCATAAAATCTAAAATAATATGAAATACACATGACATATTAAATTAATTTTATATTACTATATCATACAAGTGAAATGCAAAAATAATCATTTTTTTTTCTTTTCTTTTCAATTTGAGTATGAAAATTGTTACAACTTACAAGTAGAGATGGCAATGAATCGGATTCGGATCGGGTGGAGCTTCACCCGCATCCATCCATTACTTTAATCGCTCCATCCATATCCATCCATCATCCGCTTCACCCATCATCCATATCCGTCCGTCCATCATCCGCGGATGAAACGGGTGGAGCGGATGATTAATGGATAAGTATTAAAATGGAAAAAAACTCACATAAACTCTAAATTCGGTTATTTGTACAATAATTTTTTTATTTTATTAATTAAAAATGAAACAATAACAATATATGTTTGAAAAATTAATTTGCAACATAAAAAATAAGTAATTTTCTTGCGCATTTCATATTTTATTATTAAAATTCTTAAATTAAAAAATCTAATATATGTTAAATGGGTGGGTGGATGGTTAGCAGATGAAAAAAGTATCATTCACATCCGATCCGATCCATCACCCGCTTCATCCGTCAACTGCTTTTCATCCATTTAATTTGGGTTTTCGTCCATATATTTATAGCGGATAAAGCGAATTTGTGGATATCCACTTAATATTGTCATCCCTACTTACAAGTCCATGTAAGTCGATATGAATGATATGATGAATTGAAGTTGAGAGAAGACAAATATGAAAGAGAGCAAAACTTTAAAAGGCTTTCGGCAGCGGTGGAATAGTCAAAGTTGCATTTGCTTTGGTTAGAAAGCGCTTCGGTAGGCCCAATATCCTGCTACAAGGAGACAAAATCAATCAATCAACGGTTAATTTATTTTTCTAACAATTTCATGGAGACTTTTGTAAACGATTATATTTAGGGTTTGTAGTCTTAAGCTTAATTTTTAATTTTAGTTCAGTTCAATTTAATTTTTAATTTTCTTCTATTATAAACAATTTATTTTAATTCAGTTTACTTCAGTAAATTAGAATAGACCCTTAGTATAGTGTATTTTTATTTCTCCATCTTAATTAATAATCCTTCCCTAATTCCAAATTTTCTCATTTTAATTTGTATAGAAAGTCATTTCTATAAAAATTATTCTTGTCATTCTCATATACTACCTCCGTATCGTATTATATGTAATTTTAGAATTTTTTATATCTCACAAATAAAATCCCAAAATTGCATATAATACGATCCGGATATAGTATAAATTTTTCTCAACATGATATGTTATTACTCTTTCCTTATAAATTAATATTTTCTCATTCCCTTTAAAATTATCTCAATTGATTACTCAAGTACGGTTGTTTTCTGTATCATTTTCATAGAAAAAACAACTAGTCATAGACGTACATAAACTCGTGGAGAGAAAAATGTATGGTAGTTCATGTGAAAGACTTCGGTTATTTTGGCCTATAAGATGTGATGTTATGTATGCTTGGCTGTTTGTTTGTGTTTGTGTATCCCTCAACTTAAGCGATAGACGTTTAGCTAGAGGGTTGGGGCGAAGGTTAGTGTCCTAACTAACCAAAGGACATGCTAGTGTAACATAAGACACAATACCGTCTGCTAATTAACCTTGTCTTTATCTCAGAATCATCACTTTATTTACAAAAACAAAATTTGGCCTATTCCTTGAAAACTATCATGCGGCACCATTTGCGTATTTGAAAGTAATTTATCAAGAAATAACTAATTTGGAAATTAGATGTTGATTGCATCATACCTATTTTAGGAAACCTTTTTTTTTTACATATATCAAACACTCATTATGCTCTTACTGACATCTCTTAAGTGCGGCACTTAATAGGGTTGCCCACCTACAATTTGTGGGTAAACCACATTAGTATTGTTGTCCCTTCCCAAGTAAAGGTAAAATACAATTTTTATGTTCTTATGTTCAATTCAAATTAGTAAGCTCAACTATCAATCTATCATCACATCGTAATGAGCTTCCAACACAAACGTAGATTATGAATACTAACTTTTTTGAATAGTATACGAAGTATATCGTTCATTCGTCCATTCATCATATATACATATGGTACATCGTTCATTCGTCCATCCATCATATACACGTACATATGGCGATAAGGAGTACCAATAATTCGTGGATGGTTGGATTTGAACTTGTACTCTGCTTAACCTTTTCTAGTGACTCGTACAAAAGATTTTTTTCTCCACTATTTTGATTGTATGCACGTACAAGTTTTAGCATTTGACTAATAGGCCGGGGCTTAAGCTATTCTTGTTTCATTAATTACTATCCAATAATAACCCAACAAATAAACATCCATCATTATCACAAGTTCATAACCTCTAATTACACTTAACTACCAAAAATACCGCACCTAATAAATTAAATCCAACTTCCAACTCCTCTAACTCGACTTATTGTAACAATGAATCAAATTTTACCTACTTTACATTACTTTTAAAAATAACAATGATGTTGAAAAATAGCACATACGAAGTAATTCATACTCCGTATTTGAATAAAACCAAGCATATGATACAAATCATAGACTAGTCATTAACCCTTTTCGGTAAAAATAAAGATGCACCCATTACCATATTTGAGAGGTACCTTCCCATTTTTTTTTTTTTTTTTATGTTAACTTTTAGATAGAGACTATACTATATTACGGAGTATCACATTTCTGAACATACATTAACTTATGACAAAAGATACGGATTTTTATATATTTCCCATTCTTTTGCACGAAAAAGATGCTCTCACACCACTTTTTTTACCATCTTTTACAGTCCTACAGTACTTTTTTACTGACTAGTAATACTCCCCTTATATCTTCATTTTTTTTTTTAATTTTTATTCCTTTTTGTGCACCCTAATAATTTACAATACTCTACCCCTATTCGCTACTCTCTCCCTACTACACCGCTACGCCGCCGTTTCCCTCCTCCACCGCCGCTGCCGCAACATCCGTAGTATTCAGTAACACCGAGCTCGCCTCCACACCATCGAAGAAATCTAAGTTCAAAGTAACGAAGTCAAAACGACAACGTGTGTGAAAATCATGCAAATTTTTAAAAATAAAAGAAAAAAAAAATTGGAAATTACCAGTGGAGGAATTGAAGGAGCGTTTACAGTGTAAAATGGCGCTTTGAATACCATCTTGTTGCTGCAAAAGAGAATCATCTCTTTTCTTAGACGACGTCGTATTCTGCACCATAGAATGCACAACCGCCGACTTACTCTTACCTAAATGCTTCTTTGCTATCACCTTCAAATTCAACCCTTGTTTTTGCGACACTTTCTCTCTCCTCTTCTCAACCGTCGTCGTTTCTCTCTCCGCTGCTTTTTTCGACACTTTGATCTTCACCATTTTTAAGTATTTTTGCACCACTTCCTTCTTGTTCTTCTTCTCGTCTCCAGAACCTTCCGTTTGCGACGCCGAACCGTCGGATTTCTGATGCTCCTCTTTCTCCTCCTCCTCTGCATTCGCGCCGCTTTTCACGGCGGCGGAGGATGCGACGGCGGCGGCGGGTGTTGTTGTGGAGTTAACTTTGGAATTGGAAGAAGCGCGAGTGAGGAGAGAGAAAATCGGAACCTCTTCCACTTTGAATTTCACTGTGAAAAACTTCTTGTTTTGGTGGTTGTTATTGTTATTGTTGTTGTTTGGCTGATTTTGAGAATGACATTGCTTTGACTCAGACTTTGACCGTTTCAACCCTAGAAAAAACACGCGAAACTTGGTCGCCGATTTCGCAAGCGACACCGGAATCGGAAACTGACCGGACTTGTTACCGGAGTTCATCATCTCCTCCTCTTCAGAACCGTCGATTCGAAGTATCCTTCCTTTGAAAAACAAGTCATCCGACGGTGAGATAATAAGGTTTGGTTCCAACTCTCTCTCCTCTACTACTTCCACCTCATTTTCATCATCAATCTCGTTTTCTCTCTCCTCTGTTTCATCCTCTTCATTACAATCAACATCATCGTCATCGTCTTCGTTGTTAACATCGTTGTTGTTGTTGATATCGTCGTCTTCGGAAGGCACGGCGAATTCGAGGTCAAAGAAAGGACCGTCTTCGGCGTCGGAGTCGTGGTCGGAGTTTTGAGTTACGGCGGAGATAATGGTGGTTGCCGCGGAGGAGGAAGAAGAAGAGTTGTGAGATGAAGGTAGAGATATAAGAGGTGGGCCACCACTACCAGCAGCGGATTTCCAGTACTTGAGTAAGCTAAAAGCTTCCATGGTTGGGAGAGCCAGACTAATCACAGGTAACAAGCTTTACAGCTTTGGAAATTAATTTAATTTTTGAATAAAATGACAAAAATGAGAAGAAAGGTGGGATAAAATGGAAAGAGAGAGAGGGGGTTGGAAATGGAAAGACGAAGGAGAGGAAGGGGTAAAATTGGGTTACACTTACACGGGAGATGGCAGGAAAGTCATGTGAGAAAGGCATTCAAGTTTCAGAGTGTCTCTGTTTCTGTTTTTCTGTCAGACCAGGGTTTTTAATGGCAACAATGGAAAATGACTCTTGATTTACTATTGTGTTTTTTGCTTGATTTTTAACTCTCTTAACAAGAAACTTCAGTGTTTTATTATTATTCAAGTGCACTCCACATAAAGTAACAAACAAGATAACTCATTTCAGATTAGCCGATGTAGTTCATTAGGAATACTCCCTCTATCCCCATTATTTGCCCCAAATCATAAATCTACTTTATTAAGATTTTGGGTAAAAAATGATGTACATGGGTTGACACAAATATCAATGAGGAGAGAGATAGAAAGAGTGCAAGTGGGAAAACATGCCAAAAATAGTATGGAGTAATCTTTTGGGGACGCCTTAAAAAAGAAAGTGGAGCAAACAATTAGGGACAGAGAGAGTAGGAGTTAGGGGATATGTAAGGAATCTAATTTTACCCCAACGAGACTCCTAGTTTATGGTTGTGTGAGACGGAATATTAATCTTTTCACTAGGTCAAACTTTACTTAATAGTGTCACCACAAATTTTTTAAAAAATCGGGTGTACAATAATTATTGTACATTCATTATAAAGATAACCTAAAGTGATTAAAAGTTACCCCTGAAATAAATAAAAGTTACCCCAATATGCATTAAAGTAACTCAATTAAAATAAAAATTAACTACGCTTTATTAATAAAAAATCATATTTTAAATGACTAAAAATCATTAGTGATTGAATGTAATTAAATTATCTTTATAAAACTTTTCTTGTTGTTGATTTATATAAAAATTGTATTATGTTTAAAGTTATTCAAAAAAAGACAAAAAGTTACCCTAAAATTAGCTAAAAGTTACCCTTATACTGCTCGATGTACACTAATATTAGTGTAAACCGGATGTATACAAAAGTTTTTGTAGTTTCACTACGTATATGAACTAGTAACTGAGAATTCTTATCAAAAATTACTTATGTCAATCGGTGCTACTAAACGTGTACATTTGACGAGTTAGGATTACGTTACGGAGAATAGGGAAGAAGGATGATAAATTAAGATTTAAGAATGATATAATTATAAAATGTGATTTCAAAGATTGAGGATGAATGTTTGAATACAGTAATAAATTCAAGACCACAATTAAGAAGTACGACCGTCTTATTTTCGTAATATAGAATTATGTATCCGAGGAAGGTTGGGCAGAGTAAAAGAAAACTGACACCTAATAATTAATTGAGTTTATAGGAATTGATTTCTGTTAATTACGGAGTACCCGACATTAACTCCTTTTTTAATACTTTTTGTAAGATAATTTAGTGGAGACTAGAGACTAGAGAGCATGAACTAAAGCTTGATTATGCTTATCAACCTAATCCTTCTTCCTTTTTCTGTTTTTGTTTTTCTCCTTTCTTTTTGTCTTTTCAATTCTAAGCTTCCTAAGCAAGTCGTACTTTATAATTATAATAATATATTTTCTTGTGAACCACGCATAAAATATGACTTGTAATTTTAAATTCATTAATTTTTCAAGCTTTTGCGTAACTTCAATTAGGGATGAAAATAAGAGTTTTAATCCCATTTGTAATTAAGTCTTAATAAGGCTTTGACCATAATCTACAAATTATTTTGTTTATTATATCTTCTAATCTTTCAACTCTCTATCCCAAATACAAACACTTCCTTAGTATTTGTCTAGTGGCATATACTTGAGAATGTTAACTACTCTAGTACTCTACGCTACACAATATACACCATTAGTCCATTACTAGCTACACCACCAATGTCACTTTTGTCGTTGGAAAATATGGCCACATCATTTCTTATAGTAATGTATGATTTTTATAACTTTTATTTTATTCAATCTTGTGTGTGATATCTAATATTTGAGATCAATTCAACTAAGGTCTGTTCTGATTTGGTGAACTGAACTGAATATTTTATGAGAGAAGGAAATTAGGAACTGAACTGAACTGATTGGAGCGGAGCTAAATTAAACCGAACTGATATTAAGCTGAAGAGAATAGGCTCTAAGACAGGTGTGTTAAAATTATAATAATGCACTTACTAATTTACAATAATACTTGTATGTAATACGACATCTAAGGCAGCTTAAAACTCGTTCAATAAATAAAAAAAACAATTAATAAAACATTAATCTTCTTTATTGCTCGTATTCTTGCATACGGTTGCCCATATGTATCCATTAGGACCATTACTAACACCATACTATGACACCTTACACTAGCTTGATTCTCCAAGGTGTCACCATGCCATGCAAATCGTACACATTGTATTGAATTGCTTTGAATTGCAGTGTATATCCTGTATTTCATTTGATGAAACGGGATGCAATGAATAAAAGTCATGAACCCCTAAATTGTTTGGCATGTTTTGAATGTGGCTTCATTCAAGTTTTTTGTCTCTAACTTTGGCCTAGTCTCCTTATTGATGAGGCAACCATTTTCCCCTGTTTAGGATGGACCCAAAATCATCAGTACTCCAAACTTATCAATCATCCCTTTTTGTTCTTTTTCTTCAACTCGTATTTAATAATGCATGCCTATATTTAAGACGTAGGACACATGCATGTTTTCATATTTTTCAGGTACTATTTGTCAATTAGCTTAACCAAAGAAAATATTGAGCTATTGCAGATTAGAAGTAATTAAGAAATTATATGTTTTGTGATATTATATACGGAGTATAATTTCTTATATACAAGACAAAAATATTTTTTAACAATCCATTTTTTGATCAATTTAATTGTTGCAATTTGACTTTTCATTTACTAATACTAAATTACTAACCATATGTTTAATTTTATTTTTTCTTTCAACAAAGGGTGGTATATAGATTATAGATATAAGTTGTTGGATTGATATTTTTTTGTATATATAGTCACCATATTAGTTTTTAATAATTTGAACTACTAATATATATATTTAAAGATATTTACAGTTAAATTTGTGAAATAGTGTAAATTAAAAAGTAGAAGTTCAATCGAAATAGTTGTAATAAAGTATTTTACGAAGTATCATTTAATGACCAACTCTCATCACATCCCATATTCAAAATGATAATGACCATTGAAGAATTGACATCCACTTCCCTTTTATGTGATGCATGTCAAACCTCCATTATCACCCCATCCTCTCTCCCCTAATTCATTAATTAATCTTGATTACCTTATATACTCCTTGATTCTTACTTTTTCTGTCACAAATTAATAATATATACATAGTCATCTTAATTCTATATAACTTGGAACATGACATAATTTTGCTCATTTGTAGCACATGAACCATTCAAACAAACAATCTTCCTAAAACTCTCTGTTACTCCAATTACAATATTATTAAAGATGATGAGACATCAATTACAAATCCAATCTAATAATTCCACCAGCCCATCACTATCTTGCCTCTCTTAGCATATAAATTCATACACTATTACATTATCACATTAGATTATAAGTTGGTCCACTAGGTGCTAGGCATTTGTGTTTCACTATCTCCATAAATTAACATATTTTACTAATCTTAGCCATTTAATTAGTGTATTAATATATAATGGTCCTAGCTATATCATACTGCATAATGCATGTGATATAACAAAGATAAGAGTTTAACTTGATAAAGTATGTTTCTATACATGTAATATATCCCACTATTACACGATTAACACCCAAAGATTAAATAAAGGATAGTGCATCATACAAACAAGCTAAGTTCAAGAACAAATCTTTGTATTGCATTTACGACCTTGCATATTTAGAAGAAAAGGTCCTTCATTTAAGAACACCCTCTTATTCTTATTCCACACTATATTGTTGGTTTTGGTTTGTCTTGTTTATTTACTGCGTTTATATAGTCAAGAATTTACGAAGAACTTGTCAAAATGGAGTTGAAGAAAAGCGTGAAATTTTCCTAGGGCATGTCATTAACTCATAGCAAGATATCCAAGAACTGTAAAGTATTTGTTGATGAAAATTGGTCCGATTAATTCAATTTTTCGAACTAGTTGTCTAGTCCAAAACGATTTGTAAACATCGTCACTAACCAATTGTCACACTATGGGCGTATTGATTTTTTTATATTTTGAGTTAACCCTAATAACCTAGGTATTCCGTGTCATTTATTCAAATTCGACTAAATATAAGTTGAAATAAAGCTCAACCCAAATCATTGTTAACGCCAAGTTGGTCCATTATAATTTATAAACACTCAATTTATGATGAAGGACAAAGGCATGGGGAAGTTGGTAATAAGGCACTAGATGAGATTTTCCAAAATGGTAGGTGATTAGACAAAAGCAAACAAAAGTAAAAATAAAAAGAAAAGGAAGAAAAGAAATCAAGACTAACACAGTAAAAAGAACAAGTAAAGGGGATTATAGGTAGGCGATGGACCTCTTCGATAACCTAAGGTAACTTTGCTTAATCCACTTTTTTATCTATGTTTTCTTTTGCATATTTTAGTAATACTAGGTTAACTTTAGAAAGGAAAGATGATTAGTAATGCTTGGCTAATTGTTACTCATGCTATATTAGAAAATGATAGAGTATAAAACATATTCCTGGGCCTCAACCATCATCCGATGGAGGCCCAGAAATATGTTTTATACTCTATCACTCCTTCTCACATGAAAGGTCATTTGGACTTGAAATGTTGATGCAACACAGGTCCACCCACTAACAGAAAATAACCTTGATAATGACTCAATCAGATTGCAATCGACATTACAAAGTACATTCATCAAATAATCCGACGAAATTATAGATACAATGACTTTAAAACAAACAAATGAAACAATTACTCCATTTTCTTACTAGATAAGGGTCTGTTCTCATTAACTAAAATGAGATGAACTGAACTTAGCTGAACTAAATTGAACTGAAATGAGCTGAATTTTTTATGAGAAAAAGAAATTAAAAATTAAACTGAACTGAACTTATTAAAGATGAACTGAATTAAAATGAAAATAATCTGATGAGAACAGTGCTTTACTCAAATTGATTAGACTCAATTTGTAATCAACCATAGGCTCTATTTAACAACTCTAGTATATGAGATTTTTATTGTTTAGGGTAGGACCTTATACTAGTTAATTCGGCCATTTGGGTACGTAAGGTGCACCCAAAGTCCCGAAGTTAAGTCACGTGGCTTACATGCATGCAATTGAAAGGACCCATCAAATAAATTGCTTGCGTTGCTTAGCAGTTATAGTTATTGATGAACACTAAAAGAACGCAAAGTTTGGTGGTAAAGGTTATTTAATTGAGTACCATAATCACTAATGAGGGAAGTGCAGTTTTTCATGATTTTAGATCGGAATTGAATGGTTCTTATCAATTATAGTAAGCCAAAGTTTTGACTTGAAATATTTATCTTGTCAATAGTGCTGACAAGCATCTTCGAATTTGTATTATATGAACTGAACTCCAACTATATTTGATATTATGAAAGCTGATTTTAACTCAGGTTGAATTTGACTTGACACAAAAGTCAATATGATTATAATTCATTGATTAATTAATAGTGGTAGTAAGTTTCATGTACGAAATATAATTTAATTTTGGCTGCACTTAAATAAATCACACTTGTTCTAGATAACTAAAATAAAAATAAAAATAAAGTGCCACTTATATTTGAGCTGAGTAGAACAAATTTCAGCGGAGCAGTTATAAAAAATAGGGCTTTACAAGTAGTTACAACTATATTTATGGAAGTTATTTGATATAATTGCCAGACATGTATCACAAATTCGCAAGTTGCCAAGTTAATATAGTTCGACTTACCAATTCTTGGAGACTAAGAGGGAAAAGATAGGAGAATTTCTATACCTAAATATTTATTACTTTACCTTACAATAATACTCACATTATCATCTATCATATTATATAATCTTCTAATAGGACATAATTTCCTACACACCACAAGTGCCAAATATATGGAATTTTGGATCTATCATTACCGAGCTAAGTTTTGTGACAGTTTGTGCAACACATACATCCCAAAATTAGAAACTTAGAGCATATATAGCTGCATGGATTGTTGGACGCCACCCAGGTGTGTGAGAGAGTAAGACACATACCAACAATTGGAATATAGGAGATTCTAGACTACTAGTCACTCTTCTAAGTGCTTGTTTGGTACTATATGAGTAAGGGAAAGAAAATGGAATACAAACAAATAAGAGGGAAGAGTAATCTAAATGTAGTGGGTTGCCTTACCTCTATACCAAACACTAGATAATGTAAACGGTTATTTAATTAAATGTTCACCCCTTAAAATATACATTGACAGATTAGTATATCTAATTATGTATTAATATAAATTTGATATTTCAACGATATATATTAAGATACTGCAACAATATTTTACTTATTAACCTTTTAAGAGATGGTCAAATATATGAATCAAAGTGTGCCAATTATTTTACCCAAAAAAAAAAAAAAGTGTGTCAATTATTTGGCCTCTTCTGATTTATTAAACTGAACCTATTGGAGCTGAACTAAACTGAATTGAATTAAATTGAACTAAATATTTTATGAGATAATGAAATTAAGATTTAAACTGAAGTGAACTGAAAATAAGCTGAAGAGAACAAGCTCTTTCTTCGTAGTTCGTACGGCAGTAAACAAAGGGAGATCTAAACATGCTCTAAATATTTTCATCTTGGACTCGGCATCTCAAAAGGGGTCCATGAAATGACAATACCTTGTCTGAATCACTAACAAAACTTCTTGCAGTCCATAAATTAGGTTTAATAAAGCGGTAGACCCAATTCGAACCCACTAACAGCTTTCAAATGGCAAATTTTACCCAATCAGGCCCAACCAAAATGGTCCAGTTTATTAAAGAATTTATAGCTAGAGAAAGTGTTGACATACACACTGATACGGTGATACCCCCACAGGGCCACAGTCCTACATAAGAATAATAAAATTTATACGGAGTATGAAGCATATTGATTTGCATGATAATGAGGTATTTAATCATAAATGTTAGAGAAGAAAGATTTTTATGTATTACTTTTTGACAGAATACATTTAGTGAGTATTTGAATATGACCCCAAATTATGCAGTAACAACTAACAACTTCATAATTGGAATGATTTCATATAATGTGAGGTAACTTATTCATAAAGTACAAACACTGTTGTTTATCAATTATTTTGTTATAACAATCAAATGAGTAATTTTAGTCGTCCATCCAAAATATATAAAGGGTGCATTACTTTGTACTGTAGCTTGGAAGTTGGAACTCAATGTTGCTGCTAAGTATAAACAAAGGGATAAAAAAAAAAAAAAAAACAATGTAGGTCTGAAAACTTCATTGGTTAGTTGATAAATCATCAATAGAAGCTTTTTTTTTTTTTTTTTTTTTTTACAGAGATTACAGAAATCATGAATAATATTATTCGGATATAATTGTACATATGAAAAGACAATCTTCAAGCAGGAATCGTAACTCGACCAAGATCTGAGAAATTGCCATGATTTGTAGCCTAAAAACTGACCAAGATGAAAAATCTATTACAAACTCGAACCTTCTATCATCCTATGTGCCCCAATTTGAGGAAATAAAAACCACCATATGCCATTGTTAAGGGTCATACAGGCATGATGTGGGACCAAAAAATATCTACCAAGATCATAGGTTATAGGATTCCAGTGTTACACCATATAAACCCAATACTGATCATCTTGAAGCTTCACATTTCTTATATTCGATAACTCAAATCAACTTCTACTTGGCGGCTTTCTTTAGTTCAGAAACTCTAGCACCCATTATCTTAACAATTGGCTCATCTTTTGACTGAATCAGCTTTAGTGCTGGATGAACATTAAGGTCCCCCATTACCATCTTTTCACCAGCATCCATCTCACTTAAATCCACATCAATATACGGAGGAATTATGTCGGCAGGACAAAGATATTTAACACTCTTTTTAATGATATTCAGATATGAACCTGCATGATTTGATGAGCAATAATGTTTATATGACACAAGAAACAGAAAATTCACAACATAAACAGTAGGCCAAAAATATGATTAATATATTTGCAAAAATATACTAAAGATATCTTCTCTAGAATAATGAAATTTCATGTTTAACACCAACAGTTAAGTAGGTATGAAGTAGATAGGAAATTTAATAACCTTCTAATGCAAAATAATAGACTGAAACAAACAGCCACAGACAAATTCTTGCATGATAATAACTTTGCATTCCAAATGATAGACTGAATTTGATCTTATTTGTTTGATAAACTTCAACCATGAAAATTATTCTTGTACTGGTACAATGATTATCTTATTGATGTAAGGACAGAGCAACCCAAAAATGTAATTTAACTTAGGACAAGCACAAACTTTAAAATGATATTTTAACTTAAGAAGAAATCACATATGGCCTATTAGTTTAAAATGGAAGTAGTATTTGACCGGATATCTTTTCTTAATCCAGGCGACACATCTTCTCCTCTAAATACAAGGGGAACCTCAACCTTCAGTAAAGCATCAGGAGGAGCTCTAATGAAAGTGACATTAAGAATAGCTTCAGTGGCTGCATGCATGTGGAGCTGCTCAGCACAGAGGAAAACATTTCAAAGGCCTCCAACTAGAACATCTATATAGTACACAAAACTTTTAGAATGAACCAACAAAGTGAGTTATTCGCGATTATTTAGAATACGAATACGGAGTATATTTCAGCAACAAATTTAGATAAACAAAATGATTCATGCCTCAAACTTTTGCAATATGTTACCCATATATCTTCACTCCCAAAGAGGATAAAACAAAGAAAATTTCCAAATCAGCATTGCTTTTGATTGACAATCTGATTATGTACAAAGTTACCAAGAACAATTAAGACATGTCTCTGCACTAGGAGCACTAAATTATAGCCTGCCATGGTAAAAACTTCACTCTAGTCAACAACCATTGATAAACACCAGAAATGAATAGAAGTGACCTACTGATGGCTAGGAATTAATAGGCAATCCATGTATGTTCTCTTCTCGAATCTTTGCTACAATAGTAATCCTGAATCAAAACTTACAAAGCCACCCTAACCCACAAGCCCAGCAATAAATTAATACTACATGCATCATACACAATAAAGCTTCACAAGACACAAGTCTCAATACAAAGGTCTGAAGTCCTCAGGGAAGATATCCCGCTGTCCAGGTCAATTCAAATATCCATCATTCTATTAAAAATATTTTCATTATCCAAATTCTCTCTTCCACCCTCAAAGAATAGAGCATTTCATAAGGGTAAAATAGAAGACAGATTTCTTCTTTCTAGAACATGTCTCACACTTCAAGGCATCATCATTCAAAAGATTACATGGAATCCTCCAGCATCAAAATTTCTCATAAGCTTCTACGGAAAACTTGATCATACATATAGCACATTAGCATCTAACCCAACTACTGCTCTGTAGTCATCACTGGAGTTCACAAGTACAGACTCCAAACAGCCACTTTCCCATCCTTACTAATTGAGTCATACAGTACTCTAATTGAGTTCACAAGTAGGTACAGACTCCAAAGAGTCCAAACAGCCACTTTCCCATCCTTTCTAATTGAGTCATACAGTATTCTAATTTCTAATTGAGTTCACAAGTAGGTACAGACTCCAATGAGTCCAAACAGCCATTTTCCCATCCTTTCTAATTGAGTCATACAGTACATAAAGGCACTACCATAGTAAAATGTGTACATGGATAAACCTTCTTCTAGGTTATTGCGTACACATCCTTATTCTAGTACTAGAGAGAGACAAGCCAGTGAAATCTGAACAACTATTATAACATCTAGCTTCCCAAACTCTTCACAACACACCAATTTCATATGTTCAGCAATCACAGTCCTTTCACTTTGCAAACTCTTCACTCCATACCAAATTTATAAACCATACCAACACAAAGTGCAGAGACGATAACCATATATACTTCTCAGATTCATCTCACCATGTCCAGCAATTTAAACAAAAGGACATTTGAAAACATCACATTCATATGCTCAGCCCCTTTGATGCCGATGGTTGCATTGCACTGGGATTCTTGCCTAAGTAAAAGTTATATAACCAATCATTTCACCATAACTCAAAACAAAATAGGTTCAACTACTCAATCCCACGACTTAAGCTACTCTAAATAAACAAACACAAAAATAAACTTCATTCAACCACGTAGCTCACAGTCTCACACATCATCCTCAATCTTTTGTTCACGTTTAAGCTGCCCTTCAAATTCTCAATGACCATACTCCATATCATCCTCACATTCATTGTAAACATTCTCCCATTTCCCTTTCCACATTTTTAAACCACAATATAATCCCACAAGCCTTAGGTTTACCGAATTTTATTACCTCTAAAATGAGTACAGGACTATCTTAGAGTGGAAACGCACCCTAATCATATGATAAATTAGCTTAAGTCCGCCTCATACAAGACTTCACAAATTGATGTCTTATATTATTTCTTCTGCACTACGTGAAAAAATGAATTTGGCACCGGTTCAAACCCGGCCTAAGGCACCGGTTTGAACCGGTGCCAATGTGGGGGGTGCCAAAAGGGGTTTTAAAAGGCACCGGTTCAAACCGGTGCCAAAAATCGAAATTGGCACCGGTTAACCGGTGCCAAAAAGGCCCACTAAAAATTATTTCAAAGTTTTTGGCACCGGTTAACCGGTGCCAAAAAAAACCCCCAAAAATCAATTTTTTTTTTGTCTTTTTTTTGCTTAAAAATTAAATAAACTAAATTAAATAAAAACACAAAATATAAATCAAACATCACAATCAATATAAACGATTCTGTTTAATATATATTTAATCAATAAAATTTTACAGCATAGATCAATAAAAAAAATTACAACATATAAATAAAAAAAAATTACAACATATAAATAAAAAAAAAACTACAATATAAATCAAAAAAAAAAAAATTACAACATCACAATCTAAAAATCCCCATATTCTTGATTCTTCGATTATGTATACCTGCGCCAATTAAAACATCAAAAATAAATTGATTAAAATGAATAAGCTGCGAAAAAAATAAAAAAAACCCAGAAAAAAAATCGAATTAAAATCGATTAAAATAAAAACAAAATCGAAAAAACCCAGAAATCAAAAAATAAAAAAAAAAAATCGAAAAAATAAAAACAAAATCCCAGAAAAAAATGAAAAAAACCAGAAATCATAAAAATAAAAACAAAATCGAACAATTAAAAAAACCCAGAAATCAATTAAAATAAAAACAAAAACAAAAAAAAATTGAAATCGAAAAAACCCAGAAAAAATCGAAAATCAAAATTGAAAAACAAAAATCAAAAATCAAAATAAGACAACGAAAGTAAAAATCGAAACACAAAAATCAAAATCGAAAAAAAAGAAAAACAAAAATCAAAATCGAAAAACAAAAATCAAAATCAAAATCAGACAACAAAAGTAAAAATTGAAACACAAAAATCAAAATCGATAAAAAAGAAAAACAAAAATCAAAATCGAAAAACAAAAATAAAAAATTGAAAAACCCAGAAATCGAAAAAATAAAAACAAAAACGAACAAATAAAAAACCCAGAAATCAATTAAAATAAAACAAAAACGAAAAAAAATTGAAATCGAAAAAACCCAGAAAAAATCGAAAATCAAAATCGAAAAACAAAATTCAAAAATCAAAAATCAAAATCAGAAAACAAAAACCCAGAAATTGAGGGAGGAGGATACGTGTTCGTGGTGGTCTCCGTGGTGGTGTTGCATGTGCTCGCGGTGGTCTCTGTGGTGGTGTTCGTGGTGGTCTCCGTGGTGGTCTTCGTGGTGGGCTTGAAGGAGAAGGAGACGCAGTAGCTTAGTCTTGAGGGAGAAGGAGGAGATGAGAAAGGGAAGGAGGAGATGAGAAAGACTGGTTAAGTGGAGCGAAAGAGGAGGAGAGGAGAAGAGGAGAGAGAAAGAGTAGGAAAGAAGAGGAGAGGAGAAGCGGCGAGAATGATGAAATAGGGTTTGGGGGGTATAAATATGGCCGAGTTTTTTTTTTTTTGTTTTTTTGTTTTTTTTTTTTTTTAAAGTTTAACCATTTTTTTTAAATTAAGGAGCGGTTCAATTGAACCGGTGCCCTTTTTGTTTTTGGCACCGGTTTGGTCTGATTCGGTGCCTTTTATATTTGTGTAAAATGGCGCCCAAATTTGGGCCGGTTTAGGGCACCGGTTTGGCCTGAACCGGTGCCTTTATGGGGGTGCCTTATTGTATTTTTCTACTAGTGCTGGCAATAATCCCCCATCTTTCTCACTAACACTCTACTAGCAACTTTCAACCAAAATAATCTCCAACGAGTCTCATGTGAAGCGCAGTTACAATGTTACAATTATCTATACAATCAGTACGAGACTACTATATATAATACAAAATGTTATTGTAAGATCATCTCATACAAGATTTCAGCACTTCAATATCTTATTAGTTCCCTCCAAGCACCAATTTTTAATATGTACACATGCTTCCCTCATTTGAAACGCACCCTGATCATACGATAAATTAACTTAATTCCACCTCATACAAGACTACACACATTTATGTCTAAAACTACATTATTTCTCCAAGTACTAATCCCCCATTTTTCTCACCAATATCCTATACAAAATACACACCAACGAGTCTAAGGTGAAGCAAAGTTACAATTATCTCAAGTTCTCAACAATCAGTATAAAACAACAATCATACACAATTTTATAGTAAGTCTGTCTCATACAAGATTTCGCACTATAATGTCTCCAAGCACCAATTTTTATTAGGTTTACATGCCTTCATTTGACAAAGATGCAAATAATTGTTTCATATAAATCAATAATCAAAAAATTGTACTAGTAATAAGAAATGTACCTTTCTGGGAAGAACACGAACATGCTCAACAACATCATCAGAATCAAAATCAGGCTTAACTTGAAGATCAAAAAGTCTAGACAAAAAGAAAGATCGACCCATTTGAGTAACAAGCTTTTTGATCTGTTTAGTTTGAACAGAGTGTCAGATAATATAAACTCCTTGATTAGAGTGATTTCCATTGATCAATATTTATAGGGATACAATCAGAAACCTAATTATATTAGGTAACATAAGATATGTATAGATATCAAAGATAATCTTATACAAAATGTATCTTAAACCTAAGATGAGAATATTCTATGGATATTCTCTATCATACCCCCGCAGTCGGAGCGGGAGAAAATCGAATGCTCAGACTGGATCTGAATCACGCATTGAGCGGTAAGGATAGTATGGTAACCCATGATCAAAAGGGAAGTAGTAGAAATGTGCCGGTGATGACGAGAGAAGCAACAGCCACGACCTACATAGAGTAAAGATAAGCACTGCTAGGCCGGAGGAGAAGGAGAAGAGTCGCACACAGACTTGGGCTAAGTTGCAGATCCAGGGAAGAAGAAGCTAAGGGATCAAACTATCATCGGGAAGAAGACACTACACTACTACGTGAAATCACAGTTGAAGAAAAACAAATAGAATTGCGCAAGAAAAGGATTAAATTCCGCCGCTTGAAATTAATCAATTCTCAAAAGAGAAACCTAGGTAGCAAGAATCAATACTCCACAAAGATTCCAAGTGCTGCAACAATAAGAGGAGCCAACTTGATAGCAAAAGAAATGTGCAAAAGTTGACCTTATTCTGGTATACCACCACCAAAACAAAATCTATGTGATTATGTGTAGAAAAACCAATGGGGCAATGTAAGAATCATTGTTGGTCATGAGGAGGTGGAAATAGAGTGCAGCACATGGAGTAGGTTGGCAGATATGGTTACTGCCAGTAGTGGGAGGCGGTAGTGTATGCGATTTCCACCAATGATGGAGGCGGCTTTCGCGGTTGCTACTATCGGTGGGAAGCGCAAGGCTACATAAATATTTTTTTTTAAAAAAAAAAACTTTGATAAAAGAAAAAAAAAAAATCTATATGTGTGTGTTTGCGGAAGCATAAAAAATTTGTGTATATCCCGCCGGTGGGTTTAATTTTCTAACCCACCGGCAGGGTGAGAATTTTTTTATATGATCCCAAGACCTCACCTAAGCTGTGATACCATGTCAAATAATATAAACTCCTTGATTAGAGTGATTTCTATTGATCAATATTTATAGGGTTACAATTAGAAACCTAATCATATTAGGTAACATAAGATATGTATAGGCATTAAAGATAATCTTATACAAAATATATCCTAAACCTAAGATGAGAACATTCTATGGATATTCTCTATCACAGAGATCAACCTCTTATTACCACCATGTTGGCCATCTTTCTGCTCAAACACAATACTGGAAATCCGACCCTATTTCCTTTCATGGGCACAAATTTTCTTCCCGAATTCGGACCTTGGGATGCCGATGATGGTCTCAAACGGGTCGGATTTGGGGAACCCAGGAAGGTAAGAGAGGGTGGTTTCCGGGTCGTAAGGGAGGACTAAGGCGGCGGAAGAGTGGGAGAAGTGGCAGAGATGGTGGTGGAGATTGAGAAGGAGGTGGGTTTTGCCGAGGAGTGGGCGGTGGAGAAGCATTTTTTTGAGGAGAGAGAAATTGTGTTTGAGTGAGGGGTTTTCTGAGGGTTTTGGAGTGTTTGGAAATGGTGGAGATGTTGTTTTTGGTTTGGGCTGTTTGTGTTGGTTCTCCAACCATGAGCCCAATGGGAGGAGGAAGGTTAGAACGGTTGGAAAAATGGGTCATTTGGTTCGGGTACGACTTTGACATATGTCCTACTTCCTCCGTCATAGTTACTCGTACAATGTAGTTCCTCCGTTTTTTAATACTTGCAACATATACTTTTTTCACGGTATATTAAGAAAAGTGGGTCTTACATGATTGAATATATTTAGGGTCTATTCTCTTCAGTTATTTTCTGTCCAGTTCAGTTTCAATAAGTTTATTTTAGTTTAGTTCAGTTCTTAATTTTCTTCTCTTAGAAAATATTCAGTTCACTTCAGCTTCAATAAGTTCAGCTCGGTTCAGTCAATCTGAACAGACTCTTAAAATAAGGATGAGGGATTGTTAGGAGTATAATCTAATGACCAATAAGGTCCAAAAAAAATATTTTTCAATTATAGTGTGTTTCAAATATTACTATTGTATATGACAGCTCTCGTAGAGCTGACCCACGCTCCCAGTACCACCTGAGAAGTAAGGGTGTTTAAAAAATCCGATATGAAATTTCATATATCCGGTCCGATTTTAAGGTTTCGGTTATTTCGGACCAGATATCTGGGAAAAAAATTTCAGGTTTTCAGATCGAATATGGATCGAAATTTGTTTGAAAATTTTAACTACCTAATTCGAGAATCCGGTGATCCGTTTCAAAAAACCTATTATCTGATCCGAAAATCTGACTACTCGATCCGAAAGTGAACAACTCTACTAAGAAGTGTACAATCATGCTAGTGGCTGCCCAAAGTCACGGGTAATCTCCCAGTGACTCAGCCTAAGCTGACCTCAGCGGGCTCCAGCCCCGTAGCATAAGGAATCGTACAACTGTAAATAGCAAGCCAAGCAAAACGGAGAAAGGGTTAGACCTTAGACAATCTTATTCTATCACTCACCTTCTATTATTTGCATTTTTGTCTTAAACTCTACTAACTCAAGCATTGGAGGGGGGGGGGGGGGTTCTCTAAAGCACCCCAAAGGGCAATAACCTACGTTCATTGTGCATGAGTTTATAGCCGAAGATCAGATCCACGCACCTGCCTAGCTTTGGAACTACACCCAGAAGAACTATAACTTTTCTATTTTCAGAAAGTGTTACAAGTATTACAAAAAAAGGAGGAAGTATTGTACCTAGCATTCTATGAAGAAAGCTAAGGGTTAAAAATGGTAAACAAAAAAAATAATCTACTGTAAAACATTTACTGTAAATATACCTGATCGGTATTATATTTATCTTAATTAATTTGTCTATTTAGCCAATATGTGTTTTGTAAAACTAATACAAGTAATTTTTTGGATTTTTTAGATTTTAACACCTGATAAAAACGGAAAAATTGATATTAACACCTCCAAAAAAAAAATTATTTTAACACCTCTTAAAAAAATTTAAATTAGAAGTTACCACCAGATAACGGATTCCGTGACGGCAAAAGTCTGTGGGCCCCAGCATTTGGTTTTACTTCCAATTTTCACCTAACAAAATACGAATCTTCTTCCTTCATTGAATACTCACCCAACTTCTTCATTCAATTCTCTCTAAATCTTCATCTAATCAAACAAATATTCAAAGGGCAAAATTTAAACCTAATTTTTTGTGGTTGAGGACCAAAGCTAGGTGTCAACATTGCAGAAGAACAACCCAGCAGGTGTTCGTCATCTTCATCAAGCAAAAAGGGGCAAACGTTGCTGGAGATCTGACAAAGACAGTCGAAAGATTCCAAAGAAGGTATTTTTTTTTATCATCTTTGATTGTGGTGCTTGGTTGATGTCAAAATTGCAATTATATGCTGAATTAGGGTTACTTTTGGTAGAAGAGCATGAAACCCTTGACAATTCAATTGACTATGCAAATTAGGTTAATTATTTAATTGACTTTGCGAATTAGGGTAATTAAATTGTTTAATTGAGATTAGAGGTTATTTACAGTGGTTTATTCTTAATTAATTCATGGAGTACTTGAATTGAGTTTGAATTGTTTATGCAAAAATGTTGGAATTGCTGCCTTTGCACTGCAAGTTAGATAATTAGGGTAGATTTGTTTATTCTCTTAGTGTCATTGCGCATGTTATCATATAATGTTCAATTATTGAATGGGTTTTAATATTTGTTATCCTTTTTGACTGGTGGATAGATAATGGGGGACAATGATGGCATGGTTGACATTTGTCTTAGAGTTGGAGGTGCATTTGTTCCAAAAAGAGTAAGCAAAGATAGGCAGCTTCTTGTTTGGTGTGGTGGGTGGTGTTATTGGAAAAGGAAAGTTGAAGTGTCTAAGATGGATGTGCATTTGATTAGGACAATTGCTATTCATGGGTTTGTTCAAGGGGATATCCCTGTTCCTATGCATTACAATTGTTGGTATAAGGAGAAGGGGAAAACTTTTAACACTAGGAAAAGGGAGCTAGTTAATAGTGAAGATATTAAGGGTCTTTTGGAGACAACAAATGGTGAAGGGTATGTAGAAGTATTTGTAATAGTACCAACTACTACTAACCCCACAAGTGAGGCCCAACCCAATCCACCAAAGGCAAATAAAAAGGGCAAGAAGGGCACCACTGATACTACTGTCAGTGTGAGAAGGAGCCCTAGGTTTAGTAAGGCAGAGAAAGGAAAAGAGAAAGTAGATGAAGTGGTAACTGAGAAGGGTAGGTTGAAAGGGAAAGGGTCAGCAAAGGCAAAAGCTCTGAAGTTTGATGAGCTTGAGGATGTTGACTCTGAGTACTCAAGTGAAGATTTCAGTGATGAGGACTTGGACTGGGAACCTAGTGAGGAAGAATATGATGAAGGGGATGAGGAATGGTATATTGAAGGGTCACAGGATATTTTGGACAAGGTGAACAAAAGCTTGAAGAAAGGGCTGGGAAGTGAAATAGAAGAAGTTGTTCCCCTTAAAGATAAGAGGTCAGAGCTTAGAGAAGACCTGGATGTTAGAGATCTGCATCTGAATCCAGAGAATGAAGGAGATTCAGATGAATCAAGGAGTTTGTGTGGTTCTGATGAAGAAAAGGACACTGCTCCATAGTTCAATGCTGATGTTGACTTTGAGAACCCTATTCAGTTGAAAGTAAATCTAATGTTCAGCAATGCACAAGTGCTAAGGAGGGAACTTAGACTTCATGCAGTTCAAAATAGGTATGAGTTCTACTTTTTGCATAATGACAGTACTAGTATTACAATACAATGTAGGTATAGGTGTGATTGTGAGCTCAACACTTACACTTGTAGAATGCTTGCTTGTACATGTGTGGGGAGAGTGAAGTGTCAATTCAAGGTCTTTGCTTCAAAACTTGTTAAGCAGCAAACTTGGCAAATCAAAAACCTCAGATTGAAGCACACTTGTTTAAGAGTGAGGAAGAACAGGATTCTTACTGCTGAGTATATAGCAGAGAGGTATTTGGAGGAGTTTAGGAGTAATCCTAGCTGGAGAATTAAGGAGATTAGAGCTAGGATTCTGAATGATTTGGGTATTGAAGTGACTTATTTTAAGGCATGGGTAGCAAGGTGTAGGGAAAATTTGATTATATTTGGTTCTGCTAGGGAGCAGTATGCAAAGGTGTGGGATTATGGGAAAGTTGTGATGAAGTACAACCCTGGTTCTGGGTGTAATATTGTTGTTGATGGTATTGATAGGCCAGAACCACCCTTGTTTCTCAGAATGTTCATGTGTTTAAGACCTCTGAGAGATGGTTTTGCAAGAGGTTGTAGGCCACTTATTGGGGTGGATGGTTGTCACCTCAAAGGTGCCTACCCTGGGCAGATTTTGGTGGCAGTGGCTAAAGATGGGAACAACAATTCGTTCCCCCTAGCCTGGGCCATAGTGGAGGTGGAAAACAAGGAAACTTGGGGTTGGTTCTTAGAGTCTCTAATAGCTATGTTCACACATGACCAAGGAGTTAGGCTAACCATCATGTCTGATAGGCAAAAGGTAATACTACCTTACTTTTTTCTTCCAAAATTTTTATTCATGTGTAAGTGTTTGAGTTTCTTCTAATATGGTGCATTGATGTTTGCCTTTTTTAGGGATTGATTGAAGCAATGGCTGATGTTATTCCCAAAGAAGACCAAAGGTTTTGTGTTAGGCATATTTGGGCCAACTTTAAGCTCAAATTCACTGGAGCAACATTTAAGGAGCTTTTTTGGAGTGCTGCTAAGGCTAACACTTTTGTAAGTGAATTTGTTCCCTTTGATGTGCTAAGTTTTACATTTGCAGTACTTGTTAGATTGTGTAATGACAGTACATGTTTAGTTTTACATGTTTAGTGCTGTGTTTGATAATGCATGTGTTACATATATGTTTACTGACTTGAGTAGTTGTTCTGTGTGGTTTAATATGTATGTAGTTGGCAGTTTGAGTATTTGTCTGATTGTATATGTATGCATTTGTTAGTTTGAGTGTTTTTCTGATTGTATATGTATGTATTTGTCAGTTTGAGTATGAGATAGTCATGGAGTCTATCAAATTTCTTGATGAAGCTTCATATGAGTACTTAGTGAGTATTCCTCCCAAGCATTGGTGTAGACATGCTTTTCCACCTACTGCCAAGTCCAACATGTTGTTGAACAACATGTGTGAGACTTTCAATGCAGTAATCAAGCCTGCTAGAGATAAACCAATCCTCACCCAAATGGAATGGATGAGGAGGTATATAATGAACAGGAATAATGAAAAGTGGGAGGATGCCAAAAATATAAATAGTAACTTAGTGCCATATGTCAGGCATGTTCTGCATAGGGTAGATTTTGTGGCTAGGGGGTGTGTGGTACAGCCATCAAGGGACAGCACATATGAAGTGCAGCTTAAGGATGACCAAGTGTTGGTTGACTTGGAGAAAGATACATGCACATGTTACCATTGGGAACTCACTGGGATACCCTGTGTTCATGCTTATGCATGCATGCTAGATATGAGGGGTGACATAGAAGCTTATTTTGACCCATACTACACAATGGAAACATACAGAGCTGCTTATGAACCAGTTGTCCACCCAATGCCAGGTCCCAAACACTGGGAGAAAGTCAAAATGAGATAACCACAACCCCCTGCATTTAAAGTGCAGCAAGGCAGACCAAAAAGCAAGAAAAGGAAGCTCGAGCCAGGGGAATGTTCAATTGCAAGTAGCTCAACAAAGAGGAAGAAGCAATGCAAACACTGTGGGGGTTTTGGGCATTATGCCAAGACCTGCAAACTACCTCCAGCACCAGCAACAGAGCTAGTAAAGGCAGCAGGCAGACCCCCCCTTGAATACACCTTGGAAGGTAGAGGAGAGAAAAAAGAAAGAGCTCAGGGCTGCAAAAAAGGTAAACCCAAATCAACCTCAACTTGCTTACTCTTTTTTTTTGGTACATTTTCAATCCTATAATACATGTCATTAACTATTCCATTTTGACACAACATGTGTTATATGCTGCAACAAAGGCAGGAGTTGGAAGACAACCTACCTCAACCTAACCAACCTCCAGTCAATCAAAAACAAAGAAGAGGGCTAGCTCTAGTCAACCTAGTTCAAGTCAGCCAAACCCAAAGAAAGAGCCTCCAACCAAGGCAAGAACCCCCTCAAGTCAGCCTGCAGCCCAACCAGCTCAGTAAACAGGTGTTGTGACAAGGGGCAAGATGCAGACCTTCAAGATGAACCTCACCCAGTGAATTCATGTGTCTAATTAGTGAACAATGTTTATCAGTGAACAATTTGTTAGTTTTCCTTAGTTTTATGTATGATTTGGTAGATTTCCTATGGGTTTGATTACCATATGACATTTTAAAACTTGTATTTATGATTTGCATTGCTTTAAGGCAGTGTAAAGTAAGCTTCTTTTGTCAAACTACTTTTGAAGTGCTTACTTATTTTGCCAATGAAAAAAGGGAGCTAGTTTCACAGCTTTTACAATCTTCAATTCCTTTAGCAATGTTAAAGCATTTTAAAAAACAACAACTCAGTCAATGCAAATATCATTGAAACCATTCTCATAACAACTCAAGCCAATACAAAATATTTAAATTCAGGTTCCATAACTTAATTGATACTAATACAAGTTAACCACCCCTACCCATTATGAAAACAACAAACATTGACAAACTAATACAAATTGTAATGCCCAACCAACCAAAATAGTTCATTGAAGTTGTCTTCCCTGCACTGCACTCCCTGTTCATTTTGTTCCTGTCACCTTTTAAGGCCTTGCATCTAATCTTCAAATTATCAACTTCATTTAGTAGGCACCTCCTTTGACCACTGATTTCGTCAACATCCCTTTTCAATTCATTGACTTTACCTTTTAACAGCTTCTTATCCAATAAGAGGTTGTTAATAACCCCTGTTTGCCAATCTGTCCCGTCAGGTTGATCAACCCACTCGAAAGATTTGCAGCCCCTTGTTTCTGTGATTGGATCACAAAACTTACAAGCTCTGAACTTCATCCCTGGATTCTCCCTTGTCCAGCTAGTTAGCTTTCCCATTGGCACACCACAGTTGCATTTCTTTTCATTAAATGGGGAAGAGCTAACAAATGCCATAATCTGCATCAATTTTAGAACAACAATTACATATACACATTTAATCATCAACGAATTAACATTGTTAACAACAATTTTCAATTTTAATTAACTAATACAAAAGGCCCCAAATTTCTATTTCTGATAAACCCTAGTTTTGTAATTGGGCAATTTCATGCATACATAACACAATCTAAGTATCAATTCGAGTACAAAACAATCCTAATTAATAAACCTAATTGTTGAGTCCCTTAGGTTTTGATTGATAGTTTTGAATGATGACAAACAGCTAAGGGAAACAGGTCCTTGAAAGTGTTCGATACAGTTGGGGGAACCAGCTAACATAGAACACTGTTTCCCCAGACAAGTTATTACTTACATGAGTTTTCTTATTGAACTAACTTGTCTTTATACAGGGAACAGTTATATGATAAAAGTGTTATGTACTGGTAGGGAACCAGTATGTAATGTTTCCATGGTTGCTACGTGGTAAAGCAGTCACATACTCTTTATTGTGCATTAACCATGTTACATGTGCAGTAGTTGAGTTGATTCCAAGACTTGGAGCATAGAAGCCTTTCGAAGATATTTCGAAGAAAGATTGTTTGCTCATAATAGAAGTATTCAAGGAAGATTCAAGTCTTGAAGATTACATGAAGAAAAGACGATTTATGCTTTAATATGTTATCTAGGTTTTCATGTAATATGCTCCGTAGTATGCTTGCATGTTTGGGTTATATAAGTGCTTAAAAATATATTGAAGTATGATATGAAATCTGGTACAAAGTTGGAACAGGTTTCATAACATGTTTCAATTCAGGGAACCAGGTCGGGGAACCAGGTTCACTGTATTCGAGCTGCCGTTTTGGAAAAAGATTTTACAAAAAGATTTTTTCGAAAAGATTATCTTGAAAATATTTTGTGCAGCTGGAAATAAGATGAAATATTCTTGGTTACCTAAAATCTAGGAGTATTTATCTTAATTGATTCTATCTTTGTGATTAAATCAAATAAGATAAAAACTTTCCTAAAATTACATTATATCTTATTCTCTAAGATTGTGTGATTTAAGGAAACTAGGTTTTAGGAATCTAAGCTTATATAAACTCATCTTATTTCACATATTTCGTGTGCCTCTCCAGAAATCAAAAAGAGCAATTATTTGAGAGCATATACTTAAGCACTAATCCCATTCATCAAGTCATATACAAGAGCATTCTAGTACTTAAACTTTTTCTCTTAATTAGCTTCGTAGAAGTGAGATCAAAAGGGGAGTTTTTGATTCTTGTATTGAGTCTTTAACAAAGGGGTTAAAGGCTGGGTGAGTGTTTGTGAGTTCAAACACATTGGGCTTACGAGTGTAAGTCGAGAGCACACTCGGAGTAGAGTGTGGGGTTTGCTGGTTCCCGGAGTAGGGAACAGCAGAGTGTTCTTTGTCTTTGTTTTTCGGAGTAGATTAATAAAGAACTTAGGATAGGAGGACGTAGGCCTGAGTTGGCTGAACCTCGTTAAATTTGTTGTGTTCTTTATTGCTTTGTTTCGTTAAATTTGTTGTCTTCTTTATTGCTTATTTATATTCCGCTGCGTACGGGAACCAGCACAACTGGTTCCTCACACATAATCCGAAAAGAAGCAAAATTAGCCAACGATTACTTAACACTCAATTCACCCCCCCCCCCCTCTTGAGTGCCCATTGAACCTTCAATTGGTATCAGAGCCTAAGCTTCTCGAAAGAGTAACATCTAGAGGAGTTAAGAATGAGTACTCAAGAATTAAGTGCAATCGGTTATGACAACAAGTCACCCAAGTTTAATGGAAATAATTATGCTTGGTGGAAGAACAGGATCCAGAATGTTATCATGGGTATTGATTATGAATGCTGGCTCGTAGTTAAAAATGGTCCTAATATCATTCTCAAGACAGATGTTGAGGGGAACCAGGTTCCCAAGAAGGATAGCGAATTGGTCATTGCTGATTACAAGTTGCTGGAAAAGAATGCTAAGGCAATGTCAATACTACAACAAGCAATAGGTGAGACCGAAACAAATCGTATCTCTGGCTGTAGTAGTGCTAAGGAGATATGGGACACCCTTGAACTTGCGTTTGAGGGAACCAGCGAGGTAAAACGGTCTAAAATTGATTTAATCATGTCTAAATATGAATTGTTTGCCATGAATAAAAATGAAAAAATCAATGACTGCTTTCGTAGGTTTATGACTATAGTAAATGATCTTAGATCTCTTGGTAAAAATTTATCTGACGAGGATCTTGTGAGAAAATTATTGCGTAGTTTAACAGATGCATGGACAGCCAAGGTAACAGCAGTATATGAAGCAAAGGATCTGTCTACCTTGTCTCTGGAACAGCTGATTGGTTCCCTTATGACTCATGAGATGCTGATTGACTCTAAGTCTGAGAAGGAACCAGCAAGAGGCATGGCGCTTAAGGGAACAGTAGAAGATGATGAAGATGAAATTAGCATGATTGCAAAAAGATTTGAGAGATCTCTTCGAGATCAAAGAAAGAATTTCAAAGGTAAGCATTTTAAAAACTATAAAAAATCTAACTCTAATTCTTCTTCTACAGGATGTTTCAAGTGTGGAGAAAAAGGACATCTTATTCGAGATTGTCCTAAGTGGAATGACAAACAGTCTAAATCCGGAGATAAACAAGCATACAAGAATGCCATGATAGCTTCCATGTGGGGAGACTCTGACTCAGGGTCAGATGAAGAAGAAGGATCATCCAACTCAGATGTTTGCCTAACTGCCTTTACAAACATCAAGGAAAACAGCACTGGTCCAGGAACCAGAGGGGGAACCAGTACATTCAACAAATGCTTTATGGCAAAGAAGGATGTACTACATGAACGCAAGGTAAGCTTAGAGCAAATTAGAGAAGATATGCATGAATATGATAGAGAAAATATGCTTGCTTGTATTGATTCCTTACTAGATGAATGCTATAAACTAAGTGAAACATACATAACTTGCAAAAGAGAATTAAAAGAAAAACGTGGTGAATGTAATATTGCTATTGCTAGTTGTGATCATCTAGAAGGAGTCTGTTATGAACTAAAAAATCAAGTAGCAGAACTAGAGGTTGAATTGGACAAGTGTAAAGTGGAACTAGAAAAGGAAAGATCGTTTGAACCAATTGATGGAGAAGAGGATCTGACCTCCTGGTTCCCTAGAGACTTATCAACCACTAGTGATACTCTTGATTTTTCAGTAGCTATAAGTAAAGCAAATTCGTGTACTAGAACTTCCTTGTTGAAGGCCTTTGAAACATTGGCTTACAACCTGGAAAACTCTCACAAGGAAATTGCTTCACTTAAAGCTGCACAGTTCACTGTTTCCCCTACAGGTACCAGTGTAGATGTCAGTAATACGATTGATAAGTATGAAAGTAATATTTGTGATTTGCATGCGGAAATCAATCAACTGAAAAAGGACAAGCAACCAGTGATTGTTGACATGTCTATTGACTCTATGGTTTCAAAACTTAATCTACAATTCGAAGCTTTAAAAAGTAACTTTG